GGCAGCGTGAGCCCAGTTTTATGAAGGCCGGTGAGCAAACGTCTGGTTTTCAAAAGGAGCCCGTCCTCACCTCATGAACAGCTCAGCAGAAGTCCGCAGCCACGATGGAAACCAACATGTCTGGACAGACAGGAACTGTGTCAAACTGCTGCAATGCCAAATCCATGAAAGACCACTTCAGCTTAGCACATTTTGTGTGACAGATCGTTTATTCACATGAATGCAAGTCTCTGGAAAAGGAGGAAGCTCCTGTCAATCCAGCACATGTTGATCGTTCCACTGATATTATACTAAAGTAAAAAAGAAAACCTCGTTTACCTTTTTCATGCCTGTTGGTCACTACAGTGGACCTATCCTCAAAAAAAAAAAACAGACACATTTTTGACCAAAATGTCTTAACAAAAAGAAAGAATTATTTAGTTATGGAGGAAATCCTCCACTCATACTTTAATGAATACAAATATAACTCCATGCTCCGAAACTAAACTCATCCTGAGCTGAGTTAAGCTTCCTGCCTGGAAAAGACTCTGACTCACTTTCCTGATGCATTTAGGCATTAAAATGTCTCTTATTAGAAATACATTTCCTTTAATGTCAGACACAACTTGGTACGAGCTGATGTCTCCATCTTCAGACACCTGAACACATCGTGGTTTCACTGCTTTAAGATCATGAAATGACCTGAAAACACAGAGCTCGAGCTTGTTCAGCTACCACAGAGAAAGATAGAGAGAAGAAAAACAGCAACAAAAGGATACGGAAAAGAGACGTAAAGCGACAAGAAAAAGGAGAAACGGGAATAAAAGGAGTATGATACAAAGAGAAATGTGGATGGAAAGAAAAGAGGGGGAAAAGAAAAAGAACTGGGCTATTGCAGACTCCCCACACCTCCTTCCACCAGCCAACAGCCGCACCTGTTCAAAACCACCTGTCAATTACTTTGTCACCATAGAAACAGCTGTGTGTGAGGCCGCATGACAGCCCCGGCTGAAGGACCACTTCATTTGGGAGAAATTGGAGTCTTCATATATCAAATATTAACGCCACCGGTAAAGACTTACTCCTCACCTCTACCCCCAACTTTAACCATGAGAAAAAAAAACAACATCTGCCCACTCAGGGCAAGAATAAGAGGCTGGACACAGAAAGGAAGAGGACCAACAGCAAATCCAGAAAACCTTTTTGGAGATTTGATGATTCATCTTTATCTCTGCGACCATTAAAATCCATAGCACACCAAAGCAGATCAGTGTTAGTCATTCATATCCACCATCCAACCAAACAAGATATATTGCCAGTTAACATCTGAGAAATTAGAGTTGCAGAACAACAGGCTTCACTTCACTGAGGGACAGATACAAGAAATGTGTCCTAGAAATCAACCCCGGATCACCAATTCTCCTGATTTAGACACGTTTTACACAAGGCTTTCGGGGAACCAATGCTGTCCCCTGACTCTCGGAGCAAAGACTGACCATCCTGGACTTAAATAGTGTTTTTTACTTCCTGCAGTGTCGCAGCAACAGTCGTTTTCAATCGTGCATGCTGAAGTATGCCCCAACTGTTTGCAACTGGTTACCAGGAGGACGCAGGCTTCGTGGTTTAACAACAAAAAATATCAATTGCACGACAGTGAACCACACACCCCACCCCTTTTCTGGATAATTAGCAAATTAATTACGTCGCTTGTAAACCTCCATTAAACAAACAGACGGGATTACTGACGCTCTGGCCTGCTTTTGTGCAGGTCTGAATGATTAGTTTGCAAGCGACTGAGCTGCCGTATTGTGTGACAAACGCTGATTTTAATCATAGGAAAACAGCATGAATAACAAGGTTCTTTCATGTTACCTTCATGTCTCCGATGACAGTCTGGAAAAGCCCCCCCAGCGCGCTGCACTCCCTCTCCATCACTGTCTCCATCTTCAGCTGCGGGAACGGAAATTGCAAACACTTCTCAATCGGAGCTTGTGTTGTCCATAAATGAAGAGGGAGCAAAACGAGCAAATCACAAAAAAAAAGGTGCTGTTCGGTGCTGACAGGGGCGCTCAGAGCCGCGCTGCAGGCTTTCCCCGGCGGATGGAGAGCTGGACGCGGGCGGCTGGGCCGGTTAGTGTCCACTCAGAGCCGGTACATCCCATGTCCGCTGGAGGAGGCGAGGCATGTTGGAGCGGACCAAAGTGGCGGCAGAGAAAAAGCACGATGCTGCCGGAGAGGCTCAACTTTCCACACCGAGCTGCGCCTTTGGCACCACTGGAGGGGACCGGGCACGGGAACGCGTCTGTCAGCTCGTGAACGCGCGTTTGCAAGCTCCTCCTTTCAACAGAGCAAGAGTTTTTCTTAATGGAAAATCAGCGGTATTGCCTGCATGATAATATTGAGAATTTCCCAATATTGAAACAAAATCAATATTAGAACTGAAAATACCATAAAGCACAACATAATTGGTCATAAATAGTAATGGAAATAAAAGGCCAATCAGCCATTACCCATCATTATCACAAAACTAAACCAAGAAACATGATTACCTAAGGTAAAAAAACGCTTAACATGTTCCACAAATCCACTAAAACATTTTTAACTCTTCCTTCTACACAATCCCTGCTGAAAGCTTCTGGATTCATTACAACTGGAAGATGTTCCTTTGTGTGCTGTTGACAGATCAAACCTGCAGGATTGGGGCCTTGTCCTGAACATTCTTATTGCTCTTATTAATGTCATCTATAAAGTTTATAAAAGATTGTGAGTCCCGAGGGGAAAAGCCAAAAGGAATGTTTGAACACTCTTTGTGCCAAACTGCCAGAAAAAGGACCTTAGCATACCAAACGCAGAGGTTTGGTGATCCTAACCCTTTTCTTAAGCATCAACTGGTGAATTAACACACAATGTTATTTTCATCCAGTCTAACCGTCTCTTTTTAGCTACATTTACTTCTGTTAAGGGGTGATTCGTGTTGGTCTTTTTTTTCAGATATGAGACCCACTTCGATCTGTTTTTTTGTTAAAGTGCAGCCACAAATATTTTAAAAAAAAATCTGAATTTTTTATACACATATTCTCTGTTTATGTATCATTTTTATTTTTTTTACTCCCAGGCACATTGCTTTGTGCTTTCTTTCGTGATCCTTTCACATCTTCCAGCCTGGATGTTTTCCACTGATATGTTATACTTTTGTCTTGCTCCAAATTTTAGTCACAAGACTGGAAACAACCTATATATTTTTTCAGTTTCATTTCAATAATTGTCTAGAATAAGTCTTAAAATGCTTTCTATTGGCCCTTCTGGTGGTTCTTTGGTGGAAACCATGCATTCTGCCAATCAGCCAGCTGCAGACTCATCACACATTAAATTAGTAATGCAAATTATGAGAGGATGTTGATTTTTTTTATTATTGATCTAGAAAATAAATGTACAAATCCATATAACGATTGCTTCATGTCTTAAAAAAATAGATAGCATTTTCTCTATATTCAAAACAAGAGCATCCCCTGGTGAAGATATGGTTGAACTACAATTTTTTTCTTGGTCAAAGGGAAGCTGATAAGACAGAGGATCACACAAAGATCATGACAGTAGTGGGAAATGTATGAAAAGAAGATTGATAGAGGTCTTACATGTAATTGTTCTCTCTTCAATGTAGTTTCTTGCATTACCATCACTTAATTTAGCCAGAAACTCTAAATATGATGCATGCATATATACCACAAAAATCTATTATTCTTACCTTGAGTAGTTTCAAAGCAGGTGAAATAAATGAGCTGATGAATCGTTTTGGTTTGAAGTTTATCTAATGGCACACATTACTTTATATAATCCGATTTTCAGTGTGATCATTTTTACTTCAGCATCAAAATACTGAACTGGGTTTTCAACAGACAGCAATAAGAACATTTTGGAAAGTACCATAATGGCTTAGTTTATAAAAATCCATTCAACCAAAAATGAAGTCTCTTCTCATTCAGAAATGTATACAGCAAACGGTAATATAATAGAAGCCAGAAACTTCCCTTTGTGGCAGTGAGGAATCTAAACCAGTAAATACTTGGATCCAAACTAAAATAGTGAGCTTTAAAAGGATCTGGACGGGCTCAAGAAAGATCAGGAATCAGATGGTGAAGCTGGCAGCACGTCGGAGCTGTGTCATTTAAACCATTTGCTTAATGACAGGGAGCAAGAGCACACATGCTGATAGTGTCCACGAAAAAAAAAGAAAAAAGAAAGGGGGTCCTGTGTCATTATCTTCCCTAAAGACGAGAACAATGAACTAATAACAGCCATCAGAGGGGTAGCGAGGCAGATAATGGGCAGACAGAAGAAAAAGCAGGGTAAAAATCAAGACGTTGGAGACACTGACCACCCAGCACAGTAAAATTGGAATTTTATGTAAATTAACTGGGCCCTCTGCAAAAAACAAAGTGGATTATGGGAGAATACTCACAACCCACAATTGGCCTCCATAGGCAGCATTTGTCCATTGGTTTAATTGATACATTTATGTGCAAGCCTATGTGAACCATATGCGTCACATTTAAACATGGGCACATGAAGTTAGGCTGAATGAGATGGCACTCAAAATCCAGCTTGAGCTGTTTTGGTCTTGCAATATTCTTGCTGGTTTGTCTAAACTGTGATGGCACCTCCGTGCCACCCACTGTCCACATCTTTGGGTGCGTTTTGCTTCTGTAGAAGCAGCAAGGAAGAGAGCGTCGCCAGATTGGTGGTATGGGAGGGGGGGCTGCTGCACGCTACAGAAGACTTCCACATTTCAGTTTAGGCCTTTTTGTAAATAATCTGAAAACATTGTTGCAGCTAGATTACACTTGCTATATACTTTGAAACAGCCCTTAGTTTGTGGACTAGTGTTATGTTACAATTGCATTAGTCATCTTTATACCAGAGTACTTCAGGCCTTAATCAATTAAAAAGTGTCAAAATATTGAATTAGACAAAATATTGAATGTTCAATGGAAAGCGTTTAAAATTGAAAATAGAACCAAAAATGGTAGTTCCAAGCAGTTTATTGATTTCAGAGTGACGCCAAATAAGCGACGATAGTCCACAGTAAGCCAAGAACCTGGAGAGAGAGAGAGACTTAAAGTTAGAAGCATCAGTGAATTAAGCTCAAAACCCACAGTTAAGTTTCAAGTCACTCACCCTATGGCGTCAAAAGTTGACGGTTTCGATTGTACATAGATCTCAGCTGTGGCCGCTCACCCCCAAAATGGTAAAGAGACGAAACGGGAACTGTCGTAAAACTTCTGGGATCAGCCTTTCCCCGTCCAGTGGAGCCAAGAGCCCCAACTTTATCCGTGCTGGGAGGTGGCACGCCGGCGGGCCGAGAACCAGGGGGCTTCTGGTGTGGACTGGCTGGTGCAGGCTTACCAGTGACACGAGTGGAAGGAACACGAGACCAGAGCTGACTGCCACCCTGCTGTGATTGTTTGGTCTGCACACTTGGCCTCATCTGAGTTTGACTGGCAGGGAGTCTTGACTGCTGGTTTCCTGTGTGGTGACCAGGTGTAGGTTTTCTAGAACCAATTGGCTGAACACTTGCACGGTTGTGCCAATCAGGGGAATGCATCCTAGGGCTAAGAGGAGCAACCATTTTGATATCAGACATCTCTGGCTTAAATGGGCCATATGTTGAGTAGGAATCAGGTTTTGGCCCTTGCCCACTGTGAGGGGGAGAATTCCACATGCCAGCTTTGCTCTGGAGAACATTTGACGGTCCTGACTGCCTACTTCCAGTGTTGTATCCAGAGGTTCTTCTAGAACTTGCTGGCTGAACAGTTAGACCTTTGTGCCAGTCAGGCATACTAGAGGCAACAGGAGCATCGACCGGCTTAGGATGGGGCTTGCGTGGTTGCAGGGGGACATACGACGTAGCCCCATGGGTCGAGTAGGAATTAGACCTTGGCACGGCTCCACTCTGAGAAGTGGGAGAATCCCACATGCCTGCTTTGCCCTTGAGAACATTTGAGGAGCCCGACTGCTGGGAGGCCAAGGGTCCAGAGTGCATCTCAATAGCCCCACTTGAAACGGTACCAGACCCGAAGTTGCTGCGGGGTGATACAGTTTCCCATGCACGATCTTGACCCTGATAGACACCCTTCACTGGCTGGTGAGAGGCTTGTCTGGTATTTGACCAAAGTGAAGCAGGCCTGTAACTAGAAACACTTCTTGGTTGACTGTAACCATCTACTTGCCTTCCATGATCACTTTGACCCTGGAAACTAGCTTGAGTAGAGGACTTTGCACTTTGGGATAAGCCAGTCTGAGGAAGTCTTGAACCAGCTAGAGAAACTCTTGGTGGGGCAGAGGTCTCATAATTGGAAGCAGGTTTGTAACTATGAGGATGGGTCTCAGCTTTTGGGTAAAGTTTAACATTCCTGCCTCCATATGCTAGTGAGAGAGAGAGAGAGAGAAGTCACAGTTTGAGCAATTAGGCTGAATTAGGGACTGAATAGAAATGCAATGACAGGCATTATTTCTCACCTTTTGTAAGCTGCCCAAAGCTTAGAGAGAGCAACAGCACCCTAAAACCAGTAAGTGGTAAAGTTAGTAAGTCTGTGGTATACCAGGAAATTGGACTGAGGAAAAGAAAAGCCATCTTACCTCACACAAAATCCAGAGTCCATATTTTTTTTCCCCACTTCAATTAAACCAGAAGAAAAAGAAATGTTCTCAACAGCCAACTACCAAAAGAATTCCAACTTCAGGCTTGTACCCTCTGCACACACAGCAGCCACTTTTAAGTGTTGGGACCTGAAGCGACCTATTACATGTGACGCTGACAGGCAAACAATAATTAGGAACAGCTTGGAGAGACAATTACAGCCCTCTTTGGCAACCTGGACAGGAGTTTGCACACCAGCTAATTAGCCTAACTTAAATTCAGCTGGGAACCATTAAGTCTACCACTGTAGTGTGTAGGAACATTTGAAGGGACACATAATCCAGTTAAAAACAGAGACAGTTTTTTTTTCCCCCATTGCCTTCAGCTGTGTTTTTAGCTTCAGCCATAAGGTTTTATTTCACTCGCACGCAGCGAAGTGGCTTTAACATATGTGAACAGAAAAATAAATTCAGTAGCATGTCTAGGAGGTTGGCATGAGACATTATAACACATTTTTAGGCTAATTTCTGATTCACTTAGAAAGTGTTGATGGGAGGGTTGCAGTTCATGTTCCCACTCATACTGTAAATGGTGTTCAAGCTACACTGCTGTCTTTGAACCCAGGAACATAGATGCCATATTGATAAATCTTATAAAACCAGTATCTGTTTTGTCTGAAATTTGTATGTAAAGCATTAAACAGCTAAACCAGATAAAAGATCCAGGTAAATTTGAACAGAATGAAACTTGCATGATTTGGGTATTTATTTGAACAATATGACGGTTATGTAATAGTGTTCACTTTCAGGCGTAAATTATATATCCTCTATATGATGCACAATGCGTGAAACCTAAACTAAAAGCTACATTTTTTATTAATTTTTTTTCTAATTCTATTCCGTATGGAATGGTTGTGTGGGCCTAACACCAATAAACATCAGCTGGAAGAATCAAATACATGCTTTGTCTTAGTTTTTATTTTCTAAAACAAGCTGGCAGATTTGTTTTTTTGCCATTAACCTTAGTGCCTACACCTCCCTCAAAGCCGTCAACAAACTGTCAGACTTTAAGAACAACATTCACTTCAACCGATATTTCACTTTATCAAAGTTTTTATTTAAACATTTAAATCAAAACAAACATTCCGTTTCGTATTCTTGTACAAGAGGAAGGGATCCATGAAGACATTTTAATAAATAATATTAACCATAATTTTGTAACTGTTTTCATTCATGCAAAAACTTTTCTGAACTGTATTACAACACCACAGCGACATGTCATGCAAATCACAAGAAACATGATCACAGCTGCAATTAAAGCACATTATTTTCCCTGATGCATAAATATTAAAGTAAAGAAATATGTACAATTATGAGATCTTGGTTCTGTTACTGATGCAATAGATGAACACACTGCAGCCTAACATCTGAAGTGAGACAGGGACAGAAACACACAATGTGAAGGGAAGAAGAGAAAAACATATTATTACTGATAGGAGGGAGAGAAGAAAGGGACAGAGTTTAATCAAACATAAAAATGGTACGAGGAAAAGAGAACTGAGAGGAAGGACACATGTTTGGATGAAAACGCCTCCTGTGAGTGTCGCCAGGGTCTGTTAGCTGAGTTTAAGACCCAGGCAGAGTGCCAACTCGTTCTTCTGGATTTTTCCGTCTCTGTTGATGTCACAGTGACCCATCAGGGCGTTTCTGAATTTGTCCAGTTCTGTTCCACTGATGCTGGGCTGTAGGAAGGGGGGGGGGGATATTCGAGATAGGCATCAAAGAAGGAATAAAAGGCAAAACACCTAAAATATAACCACACCTAGATTATAAAGATTAAATTAACTTCTCGTCAAATCAATGCAATTTCCACACGTTTCATGGTTTTAAAAAGGACGGCGAGGATCAGTCTGAAGGATAGTGCTGATTTTTTGCACAAACATTTATTTTACAGGAGAATTCTCAGTCAGCAGCTCAGACAAATGGACATCTGCCAGGATGTAGGTAAACTCAAAGCCATCAAGTTTAGAAAAAAGCAGAACAAAATAAGAGGAGGCATTGATCTGCATAGATCTAAATTTCATTATCATCTTCAGCATGTAAGCATGAAGCTCTCTGGGCTACATTGAATTGAGCATAGAGAAAAACATTCATTTAAGTTGAATTGAACAGACACCAGTCATCTTTGTAATTAGTATGAATATATGATGTTTCATTGATTAGTTAATTTGTTCACCTTTACCAGCTCCATCATATCCTTGACAAATCCATCCACTTCAGGACCCTCTAATTCTCCTGTTTTACTCTAAAACACACAGACAGAGGCAGAATAGCAAAAAAGGTATTTAAGTTTGAAATCTTCTGGGGTATACAGCTAACATTTATTTGTTTTTACTATAACAATAAATAACAGGGTGTACTGCTAGAATTCTGCAATTTTTTAGAAATAGATTCCACTTAAACATATTCCTTGCAATCACTAACTCCTCTTTTATTAACAAAGAGCTCTGGCTGTCGTGAGAAAACACAACAATAACGGAAGTGAATAGATCAGAAATCTAAACTTACAACATCATAGTGAGCAAAAATCTTCTCAAAGTCCCGCTTTCTGTCCTCCTGACTGCAGGCCTGAGAGCAGAAGAGGGAAAACCTCAAAGCATTCAGACGGAAATTAGCTTAAATACAAACACAGGACTTCGAAAAACGTACACAAATGTGTTTGCGTTTTAATTTAGTGCCATAAAAATGTATATGCATAAAACACAACTTACATCCATCTTAAATTTCAGTAAGAAGTTTTCTTTTAAGGACAAAATCCTGGAGAAAAAGCAAATGATGGAAGACAGAAATTGATATTCATTGCTGCTTTTCATAGTAATTTCTTCTGTAATGAATCAAATCACAGACCTAAACCAAACGTAAAAGTTAGAAATCACTACAATGGGTATCAAAATGGCCAAAAAGGGATGTAACCAGTGAAAAATGTTCTTATATGAAGATATTCTAAAGTCAGGACATTAGGGCATCCACGATTTCCTACTTGTTGTTTCTGTCAAATGAGCATAAAATGTGCATGTGTCTATGAATATTCAAATGATATTTAAACTGTGAGGAACATAAGAAGCCTCCTTCACAAACGAGGAAATGCCTTTTGATGAGCCTCTCTGGGCTCGAGGACAGAGAATGGAGGGGGCACAAATCGTCACAGGGTGCAGAGTGAGAGCACCTGGCCAGGTCGTTTAAATCCAGTCGGCCGTCTCTGTTTTTGTCGAACATTTTCATCTGCAGGAAGAGGAAAAATAAACAAAAAAACCTCAGCCATCACAGAACCATCTGCGAGCGGCTCAGGCCCAGCACAGCTGCTGGTTACCATGGTGTCCGTGTACTCCTCCAGCTTTTCGGGGGTGATGGACTTCCTGTGCTGGATGAACAGGTCCTGAAGAAACCCCTGAGGAGAGATACACAACCAAGATCCGTTGAAACTGCTGCATGAATTGAATGATGGTTTTATACAAAGAAATAGAAAAATGAATAAAATTAAAAACATTTTTTTTAAAAACACACTCCTTTAACTGGAGTCTGAAAAGCTTAATCTGTTTTGATACATGGAAATGATTTAGCTTGAAGCTTCATTGGGTATTTCTTTGGTGAAAAAAAGAGATACAGGACACATAATGGTAGAATTTCATTCTGTGCAGTAACCTTGAGCTCGTTGGCTGAGATGTAGCCACTGCTGTCTGCATCGTAGTTTCTCCAGATCTACAGAAAACAGAAGGATAAATTCTAAAAAAAAAAAACTTTAGAGTTAATTCTATTCCTCTGCCTGGTGCCAAAAACATCTCGGGTTCGTGTCACATGTAAGCACCAGTTTTCACATGTGGTTCCATCTTGTTCAGCAGGCAGACATTTTGATTTATCTTTTGTGTGCAAGATCAAATTTGATGCTGAATAAAGCCAGGTGGACAACAAAATGAAGCCCCTCCCCCTGGAGAAATCCAGCCTGCCCCTGCTAAGGAAAATATTAGATTGGGAGCATTTGTATTGAGGGAAAGCATTTCATGCTTTTTGCAGTCACTGAAGTGACAAACTCTCAATCTATTTTTCAACACTTAATTTTACAACCTCTAGTTCTTTATTTGTGGACCTTTTGACACCCACCCTCATGAACTCCACGCTGTTGTCCAGCGGCGTCTCACGACGGAACAAAAGCAGGAAGTTCTCCTCCTCAGGAAGCATCACGGTAGCCAACTGGAACAAGAGTGTTCATTTATTGTATTTTCTATGGGAAAATAGCCTTAGATTCATATTAGATAAAATGTTGTGGCTAAATTGTTCAACTCTTTGCCTTTATTTCAGCCCAGCTTCCAGTTACTGTTCAGAGGATGCAGTCCTACCTCTTGAATCTGCAGGCGTTCATCAGCAGCAGATCCACAGCCAGACACCAGTCTTTCCCTTAGTCCTCTGACTGCGTCTTCCGTTATCTCCTGTTTCTGTCAAAAATAAACAATGATGAATAAATGAATAAATAAACATTAAATAAACAGTTGATGCATTTTATGTTAGAGGCATCTGCTCAAACTCAGGAATTTAAACTTGTTAATCTACAAACTAAATTTAAATTATTCTGTCAACTGAGATTAGATGAGAATCTTGTGCAGAATATGTAACAGTAAAACAAATGTTTAAAAACAATTTTACCTTCATTCCAAGTTTTTGCAAGATGTGCTTAAAAAAGGCATCCAGTTCTTTTCCATGGATGTAGCCGTTATCTGAAACACACAAAACCAAATGCAGACTAACCTTGTACACTTTTGTTAAACTCTGAGATTAAAAAAAGAGATTTAAAACACCATAAGTGATCTCATAACCGCAGAACACAAAATGACCGGCAAAACTCTAAACAGATCTGAGCACAGCTTTTTCTTTTTTCACAAATGATTGTGAATTCTCATAAAGGTTGATTTTAACCCGAATGAAAAGTTGAAGTTTGTCGGGCATGGCATTTCAAAGACAGAAATTCATAGCCAATACATTAATCAGGGTTGGTTTCAAATCTATCTAAGGTCTATTTTTTAATCTCAGTGTGTGCTGAATTCAATTACTAATGCTGAGAGAAGAGTCATTAAAAAAACTTGTATTTGTACCATCTTTGTCAAAATGTTGCCAGATCTGTAAAAATCCTGCAGCGTCCAGTCTTTCCAGTGTGCTGTCCATGGTCCTGGAGATCAGTCCAAAGGTCGAGGTGGGGACGGCAAAACAAACAAATAACAGCAAAGAAGCAAAAGCTTTTCTCAGCAGAGATCGACTGTCATCGACTGGATAAAATCTGCTCCGACTCTTCCCCTGAAATGAGACTGAACGGACATTCAGCCTCTTGTATCTGATGGGAGGGTCAGAACGATAATAATGAAAGGGGGCGAGGAGAGATAGTGCTTTTTCGACCATTCACTCAGTTTATTGTCATGAACATACAATATATAGAAATAAATGTCAGTTTTACGTCACATTTCCAGGCTTATAGGTCCACTGACGTGGCAAACAAAACACATTCTGCTGTGACTTTCGAAAAGGCTGATAGAAAAATCTCCCAATACAAACAACACCCTCACCAGATATTTCAAATGAAAATGGACAGCCACTCGTTGGCAATAACCTCAATAAATCACATATTCAAATCACAATACGAACCCAGTAGTTTATGTATTTCACTGAATAAACCCTTGTTTTAACCCTAAAAATATAAACAGAGCCTTTAACAAAAGTTAATACATATTTACATTGGTATAAAATACATTTGTAAGTGCAGCAGTACATAATTAACAGATATTAGTATAGAACAACGCAAGCTATGGTGAGGATACAGCAGCAGTGTTGTAGCCGATTTAGCTGTTGAGAGACTACAAACATTTATATATACCTGCCTCCTCACAGGACATTTGTGAACTTGTGGCATCAGAAAAGAAAATGTGTTGACTTGTGTGAAACTCATGTGTTTGTTCACTAATTTCAGTGCTTAAATAAAAAACTCAGGTGTTCGGCCACACAGGAAATACTCTTAAATGTGAAAAACAGGCTTTTCTGTTTCAGGACACTGTGACAGGCAAATAAAACTAAATGAAACTGTGATGATAACCTGCACTGACAACACGATTTAAAAATCCAGGCTAAAGGATTTTAAGTGGGAAGTTTTTAATAAAACAACTTATTTACCCCTTCATACATTATAAAGCATCACTGGGGTCACACTGGCTCCGTTGGGAATATTTTCAGCTTTATAGTCATCATTGGACTTCAGTGTTTTTGTCAGCAATATATACAGAAAAGAACAATAAACCCATCCAAAGCACTTTTTTTTAGCAGAATGAGTAAAACTTTTGTGACCATTTGGGCAGAAACCCTGTTGAATGCGGCACCAGGCATCACTGCTGATCAGAAGTCATATACAGTTTAACATTGTCATATGTAATTTGATATGTCAAAAAAAAAAAAATCTTTGGCTGTATGAAATCACATACGCACTCTGGTTTTAAAATAAAAATGATCTGCAAACTAGAACATCTCTGCGACAACGCAGCAGAATCTAAAACGAAAACACATCTGTACCTGCGGGTACAGATCACTGAATTACCAGCTACAGTTCACCTGCACAACACATAAAAAACAGGTTCCATCCAGACCACGTTGTAGATTTAAGAAAAAGAGTCAGACTCATTCTCCTCAGTGCTTTTGACTAAGTGAGCTTTTTATAGCTGGACATGTTTATATAACAACGGCAGTTCGCCTCTGCACCAGATAAAACCCATTTGCTCTGTGCTTTATGGTCCCATTAGAGTTGTGGAAAGAGGCAATAAGGAGCTCTTTTGGCGTATCTATGATCAGAGATCAGGAAACTCCGCTGCTAAGACCACAACATGTAAAAAAAAAAGAAAAAAAAACTTCTGAGGCTAAATCTGCTTTGGTGGGAAAACAAGCAACAGCCCAGCAGGATTTAAGGCCACAACATTGAGCTGGGATCACATGGAGGGGCTGTCATCACCGGACCCGTCCTCTGATTTGCTGCTAGACTTGACATCGGCAGTCAAACTTGGTAGTTCTCCCTCGGAAGTGCTGAGATCTCCATTTGCCTGAGATGGAAGCCTCACTGGAGGAAATTCAGACATAAGAAAGAACGAATGAGCCACAAACATTACCAATAGAAATAAAAAATGTTTTAAATAAATGTCATTTCTAAATATACTACTATACAATACCATGCTTAATGTGCTGAATTTCAACAGCTGAAAGTTTAAATGTTTCTCTAGTCAATCATGAGAAATAAACCTGAATTATCTTTTAGGGGTCAGCTCTTCCTCGTTAAGCTGGAAATAATCGGCTCTAACAATAACATTTGCTATTTTAAAGTGGAGCAGAGGATTGGTGCATTTAGATAACCACAGCTGACGACAATAATACGTATTGTGGGGGTCGAACCATAGGCAGGAAGGGACTTGGCACGCTCTCGGTCCTCCTCGGTGGCAGGTGGAGGGCTGTGTGAGCCCCTCAAAGATGACCACTGTCTCCCGCCGCTGCCGGGCTCGGTGCCCGTGGTGAGCGGGTCAAAGGTGTCCCCATCTGTGGAAAATTCAGCTGCAGGAGGAAGAGCAGAAATGTCAGACGTCTCGCATACACAAGCAGCTGGTTTAAACTGCAAGCTGTGAGGCAGCCCTCCTCTCTGCCATTATTCAGTTACTTCATGTCCACTTAAAGAGATAATAAATGGATAAAATGACGATCAGGAAAATTATAAAACTGGATTGTGTGGATAAATTGCTAGCCCTCTTCTTCAAATCCAAGCAGTCTGGTAAAAATGTATGCCATGAAATCCTTTAAAAATAAATATAACTGACGTTCACTGAACTATTTTTTATCAATACGTAGTACGTTGTGAAACAAATGTTACTGAGCACTCTGGCGATGGAAGAACGACCCATGGCAGATTATCTGCGGGAAACCTGCAATAAGTCCCCCTAAAAGGAGGAAATCCTTCTTTCCACTTGTCTCTTTGATTCTAAAATCACATCTTTTTGCATAACAATTAAAAAAGTCAACTGGCCTTTCTGATTATAGAGAACAAACCCTGAGGAGTTCCTGTAAGTGCTAATTACACGAGCAGGACACCGAACTACAGAGTCACACACACTTACACACACAGACAATTGGAAAATAAAGTACAGGCGGGGATTGAATACATCTGCTCTAAGGGTCATGGACTTTTGTCTGAGATGTATTGTGCGTGATGTGTGGAGGCGCCAACTAAGGCCTTGAAATAAAAGCCTTTAAAGCCTTCATTTAATATCTGGTCAACTGTTAATAGAGTGGTATGTTTTTGGTTATCCTCAAGACTACATGGAGGATTACATCTGGACAAAAGTGTGGTTTTAATCCATAGATCCTGTTAAGGACCGGTCTGATTTTTGTGATGACTGGTATGTCACTAAATCATGTTCAGTTTCCTTTCCTCATTTTTAAGCTTCTGCTGTAAGTTATTTGAATAACTCTTCACTTCTGCCTCTACAGTCCTGCTATTAATGGTCAAAAATAGATACGAACCATCCAGTGGAGACAGTGGTCCTGCTGGGCTGCTGCATGTACTGTCTCTGTCCTGCTCTGACGGCGCCCTCTTCAGGCGAGGAGCAGGAAGTGGGGCCTTAGGGGACAAGCTGCCTACAGGAGCCTCTACTGCATGATCTGAGGTGCAAATAAAAACATATTTAACTCTGAGTATATTTTAAAGCGCAGATAGCTACTTTTCGATGTTGAACGTTTTTTCTCTGACATCTTTTCGAACTTCTTACCGAGGGCAGAGGAATTGCTGGGGCTGGTTGGGCTGAGGGGCCCTGAGGTGCGGGGTGCCAGTGGAACTTTGATGACCTGGGGTGGTGGGGGTCTGGGGCTGACACTTGGTGGTATGGACCTGGGAATCGGATCTGGTCTGGATTCGTCAGTATCCGCTGGGACAACAGGATGGACATTTAACCTAGCTGCAGGATCACATGAGAACGCTCGAAATCCCCAGAAAATTTTACACACATCTCACGTCAGAAGAGAAGGATGTCGATGAGATAACATCAACATTAATTAACACAAACTCACCTTTGTCAGGATCCACCTTGTCTGGTCCAAATGACGGATCAGGCTGAAAGAAAAGTCAGAGTTTATATTCTAACACACCTTAGCTCAGCCTTTCCACGACCCATTTAGACAAACTCCTTACAAAAAAAGACAAGAATTCCCCAAATGCTGTGATGCTGCTAATACTTCAGTTCTACACACCTTCTTTTCGGACATTTTTTCTTGCCTGCTTCTCTCTTGCCTGGCCTTCATCTCAGCCATCAGGTCTTTTCCCATAACGGGAACCCCGAGGTGACGGGGTATGTGAGGGTTCTCCCTTTTCTCTGCACTCTCCTTCTTCTCTCTGCTCTCCATCTTCCCCTGGTTCTCCTTATTTCCCTCATTTCTTTTCCCTCTCTCATCCTTGCTGGGCTCAGCATCATTTGTAGATGCCTCAGCTTCCATATTTGTGTGGTTCAGGGATTGTGCCCTGTGGAGCTCCTGTTGAGGCTCGGCTACAGGAATGGGACTTTTCACAGGCGGGGCCGGAGATGTGGGCGGGGTCTCCTCCGTCACTGGGCTGATACAAGAAGGGGGTGAAGACGTGGTAGAGACGGGGAGTTGAGGTGGTGCTGCGGGTGGACTTCCATGGCTCTTCTCCGACCGGGATGTCCGGGATTTGATGAGGTTAAAGAAGCCGCTCTTCCGAGATTCCCGTTTCTTATCTGTTGCTTCCTGCGTGTTGGTGGAAGAACTTCTCACAGAAGGAAGTCTGAAGAAAAGAAAATCAAGTTACTAAGAGTGAAAAGGTAAAGAGAGGAGAGAAGAAGGGGACTAAAGTGAATGCAAATATATGCCATTTCTGTCTATAAAAAAACCCACTTGAAGCTGAGCCTTATGACTTTCTTGGAGAAGAAGTCATCCAGACCCTCATCCAGCTTTGCCATGGTGTTATTCTGTTCTGTGTCCTGTGATGCTGAGCTGACAGTGACCTCCCTCTGAAAGGCAGGTAGCAGGGAGAGGGGGGGGTTAATACAAAGATAGGAGCTTTTCATAACTTAAGAACAGAAATCTTAACAAATTGAATAACTAAAGTCAAGAATCCAAAACTGTCAATAATCAACATTTCAAGGTATAACAATTAAATAATTACACATCAGTATAATGAATCTTTGCTTATTATTGAAGCCAAAAAAAAAAAATCACTTTTCACCTTTATCATCTCACCACAATAAACTCTGAATGAACAATCCAAAACTAAATTAAAAAAATGTTTAAAGTATTACTCCAAGAGTTTCCTCCCGACAGAGACTTACTGGTGCTCTGCTGGGTTTCATCCTCCCTTTGGGTTTTGGTCGGTGTTTATTGTGATGCTCCAGTGTTTTGAGCTCCAAAGGTGGGAGCTCGCCCAAACTAGTTGACTTCGCATCCACTGGAGTGGGAGGAGGGGGGAGGTCTCCGTAGCAGACTGACATTCTGTCTGAGGTTTGTGAAGGAGGAGGAGGAGGAGGAGAAGGAGAAGGGGGGTCCTCAACATGGATTGGAACCTCTTCCAGAGCTTTATCCAAGTCAAACTCCATCTCTTTTGGGAAAACAACAGAAAGAGGCAAAACCATATGTAAGCTTAAGAGTGAAGCAATACATTTTTCAATAAATAAAAAAATAACAATTTTCTTTGAATGACTATTAAAAATTTTGGGACAATAAAGAAAATACGAAGAACTGTGATTTACTCATTATCTAATCTCCTTTTTTTCGTCACTCACCGAAGGCCACAGAGACAGGCCGCAGCATCCGGACCAGAATACTCTTCCTCTTTGATTTCATCTAATGAGAAAACGAGAATTGGTATCCTGCAGATTGTAAACCTTTGTAACATAACGTCCTCTTTGCATCCACAATGAGAATCAGAATTTCCTATTTGAGAATCGTAATTTCATATTCCAGTCTCTCTCTATTCCAGATATTTGTAACAAATCTTTTTGTATTTGTGTCTCCAAACCATGGAATTGTCCATATCCTCCAGCTCATGTTTCTGGTCCTGGTTTTGGTTGTCTGGCTCCAATTCTGTCTCATCCAGGACCTCTGCCTCCATCTGGGGCTCCTGATGCACTAGAGGCTGGTCCTTCCTGATCAGATGGTCGGCCTGGAGACAGGCCGAGGACAGGGGATTAAACGGAAAAATATATATATTTTGAACTTCTTATGAACTGGCATGAAATAAATGTTGTGAGTTGTTTTAATTGCAATAGATTGGAACATTATCATGCTGAACAGAAAAACAGGCAGAGTGGATACTAACCAGAGTATGTTGTGATCTGGACAGACTCCCCAGGATTTCATCCACAATGCGATCAGACAAAAATGATGCCACGCTGAGCTTCACCTCACTGTTTCAGAAACGATAAACCGGCGTGTAAAATACAGAAACCAAGACATATATCACTAAAACGGGCATTGACATACATCTTAGAAAAATCCCTGCCTGATGTAAGTTAGATAGCTGAAAATTTGCAAAGAGGGTACATAAAAAATGGATTGTCATGGAAACTGATGAGATGCACTAATTTCCTTGAAATATCACTTTAGCTGCATTTAGACAGCTGGGTGATGGATTTCTACCGGAAATACCAGTCATCTGATAGGTGGAGATCAACGTAATGATTATGAGGTTTGGAAGCCTTTCTCTTTTCACTGAAGTGAATCATCATGGCAACTTGTGCTGCAAAGTTGATCTAACTTAGAGTATGAGATAAAAGATTAGGATGCACAAACTGCCTGCTGATCCATTCATTTTCTGGGGATTAAAGCCCACTGTGATATGAAACTTTCTCAGTCAGTCATTAAGTAACATAAAAACAAGTTAAAAACTAACTGAAAAGACCAAGAAAGCAGCCGAGCTAAACTGGGAGAAAGCCATGAAGCAGATCAAACCTGATCTTGTTGATGATGTCGACCCCGGACTGCTCCAGCAGCGTGGTGGTGATGAAGCTGCGAGGAATCGTCATCCTCCCCGTTGCAGCCTTCAGCAGCTCCTGCCGAAGGCTGCTCCTCTTCATCACATTAGGACACAGGCCCTCAGCAGCATCCACCATGGACACAAGCATAGTCTATGACAGAATAGGTAGTGTATCTTAATCCTCATATTTTTTAATTCACAAAACTTTGATTCCACCCAAGTGTTCTCAAGAGTGTCACTATACAGTTAATAACCGACTGCATTTATTTTAGTACCTGCAGCTGCTCGTCCATCACGCCTGCCACCTCACCAGCCATCGACTCTAACTTATCCTGAATGGCTCCGACACATGCACCTCTGGACCCCCCACTCCTCAGGTGGTACAGGTTGGGGAGCAGCTGAAAAAAAAAGGTTTGTTAGAGTAAGCCGCCTTTGACAGTGGACTTTCAGTCATGCTCCACATCTACTTACTGTTTTAGAGTTCCTTGCGTCCTTCATGAGGTTCTCTGCCACCTTCATGTCCTCTTGAACAGAGCTGGCCTCGGAGAACCTCAGCGAGTTCAGGTGGTCCTGCACCCTCACACATATCGTGTCCATCATCTGCGTGACAAAGAGGGCAGAGTTCAGAGAACGGATTTGTTTCTCTCTAATCGTCTCTGTGCGTTTGTTTGCCTGCCTGCTGGGTGGTTGTGGTGACTATTCCCTGCTGCAGCCTGTACGCCTGCTCCTGCAGGTATTTGCGGGTCTCGTGGTTCCTCAGCAGGTATTGTTCCATCTGCAAGTGCACCCACGTTTCATCATTTCAGAAATGCGATCTCGCAAAGAAGGCAACTTGCAAAACTGATTCATTTCTGAAAAGACAAACCTTCAGTAAGGCGTCCTCCGTCTTCTCTGGATTCGCCTTCAGCGCCTGAGCTGCATCCATGATGGGAATGGGCATGAACCGAATGGTGTAGTTTCTGATGGGGAAAGATCTCAGACTCAAACATATTCTGTAACTCAAGAGTGCTTTGAACTGTCAGCACCATGTCATACTTACTTCTCTAAGGCAGATGCTATGTCCTGTAACCCCTGAGGGCTGACGTTGTTCCTGTCCCATACTAATGTCCTGCACACATATACAATCCAAAGAAATCAGAAACATGATTTGTTTTGTACTTTTTGTCAAAGGAGATTTAGTTTTTAAGCTATTTTTATGACTCACTGATGTACTTTTCTACTCACTCATTCAGACATTCAGCAACATTTAAACGACAAGACTTAGTCTGCTGTTTCTCACCTCAGTTTAGTGTTGATCTGTAGAGCCTTGGCCAGCATCTTTGCCCCCATGTCGCCCATGGAGTTTCCACTTATGTCTAATTTAGTCAAAGACGTGTTGCTGCCAAGAGCGTTGAGTACAATGGAGAGGTCGGCCTTCAGCTTGGAGTCAGCCAAAGAAAGCGAAGTCAGCGGCTGAAAAGAAGGGTGTAACTTTACTGACAGGATTATCTTCTGTTTTAATCTTGAGTGCCTTCTGAAAAGTTTTACAGATGGTATAAAACTAAAGTTTAAGATGTTATTGACATTGGGAGAAAATATTAAATTTAAGAGTCATATTTAATAGATTCTGGGGGATTTGTCTCACCGAATCTTCTTCCTGAATCATGTGAACCAGGTTCTCCAGGACCTGAGCCACATTTCTGTAAGAGCAGAGGGACCAGCTGTGTTACAACACTTGCATTACAGCGTACTATTTCAAAACACGGTTTGTTGTTCACGTACTTGGATTTGATATTGTTGAAGTTTTTGCCCAGTGAGAGGTGTCTGATAGAACGGTTCTTAGCCAGCCAGACAAGAAGGGTGATCAGATCCATGTCCATACCTGAAGAAAAACAATCATCTATAATCAGCATGTAATTTATATAGAACCAGTTGAAAGGAACAAAGAACATATAAAGTAACCACACCGTTATCTGAAATATCCAGACTAGATATGTTGGGGATCTCAGCGATACAACCCTCCAGGATCTGGGAACCTCCAGAGCGGAGCTGAGAGACAAACACTGTCAGCTTTGCGAAATGCCAGTAAAAGATTTCTAAATTGTCTTTAGACTGCTTATTATCATAGTATGTTTGAACTTGTTTGCTGAAATGTTCTGAGGTTCACCTCACAGCAGCTGAGATCTAAAGACACGTCGCTGATGTTTGGGTTACAGCCGAGGCCCAACAGCAACGCCCTGCAGACCGGAAATCCACATCCCAGTCAAACATGTGGCTTTGCACACAGAACCAGTAACTTGCAGAAAATATATTTACTCAGGAATTTTATAAAACAAAAATTAAGACACAGGATAAAGGGGGTTCATACATATTTTTCCAGCTGTCATCCCACGTAAAAGAAAATATCTCTAAAAGTGAGTCGTTGGTGTTTGTCGATTTCCTTAATGTTGGACATTTCTGGTCTTTATTGTGACTTATGTGTAGAAACACATTCTTTTGTGTTTGTTTAAAACATCACAGAGGCTGTTGGCTGTGTTTTTGTGCTGAAAAACATCGAGCTTCTCCTTACTTCAGCGCCTCCAGAGGCAGCCTGGTTCCTGACAGACTGACAGAACTCAGAGCCTGAGCACAGCTGAAGAACTGCTTGAAGGTGGGAGGGATTTCTTTACACTTCCTGTGAGAGAGAGAGAGAGAGAGAGAGAGAGAGAGAGGTGTGATCCAAAGTGCTCAATCTGAACTACTTTAACAGATGAACACTTTTTAAATCTTTGCCAAAAACCCTGGTCTGACTGTATGAATATTTCTATTTACTGTGCAACAATATGACATAAAAAGGTCACAGTAGTAATAGTTTAAATCTGACCTGTGAGAGAAGACCGTTTTTGACATGTTAAGGACAGAAAGGTGCTTCAAAGTTCCTCTCAATAGAGATGCACACACCTAATAAAAAAAAAAAAATACAAATAAATTAAATTGTCTTTAAAACTGGTTAGAAACTGTGTCTGTATGGCTCTTACCAGCTCCAGCGAGCAGTCGCTGCTGGACAGGTCCAGAGTTTCCAGACAGTTGGGATGACTCAGGAAGTTGTGCAGATTCTGAGGGAGGAAAAAGAATCAGATGACCACAAAAAAGCACACTCTTGTTGCGAAAAAATCACTGTAAAAAGAATTCTGAAGGTTTATTGAGGCCTGTGAGTCTTTCTTTAGTTTTTTCTTTAATTAAAGATATGACTGACTGTTTGTCTTGAACTAGGACACAATATGCAGAGGAGAAGGAGCTTCTTACCGGTAGGTCATCCCCTCTGAGGGAGTTTCCAGACAAGTCCAGGTGTGTAAGCGTGGAGGCAACAGCTGGGTTGGCACAGAGAGCCTGACAGAGACTGTTGACACCTGCAAGAAATAATTTTTTTTGCTTGAAACGAAAACACAAAAGTGTGAAAAAAAATGGAGAATGACTGTTTATGCATTACTTTTTACGTTTGTATGTGGATGTGGGCTCACCTTTAGGGGACATAGAGGTCCTGGAGAGGTTCAGGTGCTTCAGGCCCATTGGCAGTTTGACAAGCTGAGCACTCAGAGCAGAAACACCTGAAGGAAACACAGATACAGAGTGACAGTCAATCATAACATCTTGAAAAATCTCAATTATATCCAACTTGAATAAATACACTTGTTTGCAATAACAGTCTTAAAAGAAACAAAGAGCAGGATAAACTGCATTTGTAAATCAAACCCTGCATGCACAACAAAAGGTTTTGAGCTGTTTTAACCTTTGTCCTCCAGTGAGTTGTTGCTCAGATTGAGTGTGTGGAGCGCAGAGGACGGATTGTGCGACAGCGCCCCGGCCAGTTTCTGAGCAAAATCACTGGAGAGGACGAAAACGACAAAACTAAAGGTCAGGATCAGTTAAATGGCTTAGCAACTGCATGGTGAGCCAACTGTATACGTACAGAGGACGAGATCCTGAGAGTCAAATTCCTGCTAACCTTTTCAGTCCGGCGTTGTCCAGCACCAGCTCCTCGAGTTGACCGGAACGAGCCATAACTCGGAAAATCTGGTCGCACACATCTGTTGACTAAAAGAAAGCAGCATGTAAAAAAAAAAAAAAAAAACCCACACAGAGGATTTCAATTAAATTTCTGCCACGTCAGTGAGATTTCATGATGACAGAAAAATATGTTTGAAATATAAACTGTGCCATTTGAACATTTTCTGTGTAAAAGTGAGCTGCAGGATTTTACCAGTTTGTAGTCTTTGGTTGAGAGTTTGGTGAACCACTGGTTGTATTCGAGAGCTGCAATGATAGCTACCAAATCCCTGTGAGAAATGTATCAAAAATCTTAATTAAAAAAAATCAGTTGATGAGGTACAGACAGAAATGCATGTAACTGTTAAAGACACAAAAGAAAACTAAAAGCAAATTTATGGAGTCACACAGCCTCTCTGAGTTGATGAAATTCTGAACATAACAGAAAAAGCCGTTCAGGGGGGCACATGCCTGTTTTCTAGGTGAGCAAAATCTTGCAGGTTTAGCTCTCTTGTGTCTTGAGTGAGATAGATGGTGTCCACATCCTGTTATGCGTTGAGAAAAAAAATACAGGAATAAAACGGGTGTCAAAAAGGAACATAAAACTTAAAAAAAAAAGAAAGAAGAAAAGTTAGAGCTTATGGACACCAGTGCACACAAGTGGTGGAAATCAGACCCAGCTTTAGCAGATGTGGCAAAAATCCGCCTGAGTTGTTGCTTCACATTGAACTGCAGGGGAAGAATAAATATGACAAAGCTGAAAAAAATGAAGAAGCAGCAGAACAGGAGGATATAAAGACAAAGAAAAGGAAGTGAAAGTATTTGGAAGCTGTTGCAAAAGCAGAGGGAGGAAAATGATCAAAGGCAGAAAAACCCAAAGTAAAAATATTGAAGCGCTAAAGCATTAAAGAAAAAACATACTAAAGAAAAATGACACATTTAGAAAAAAACTAAATGTCTTTGGTACTGACCCACTGGACCTCCTCTCGGTATGGCACCCCCAAGTTATCACACACACACAAGTACTGATGAGAAAAGCCACCTGCAAGAGTCATACGACAACAACTTGAGTTTCAGTGCAAGCGCTTCAAAATACCAGGCTGAATTTGTTTTCCTCTAAACTGGGAGGCCGATTTACCACATGGTCCCAGGTCAGCTGAGCCCTGCTCATCCCAAATGGTCTTGAGGGCAGCTATTCTCTCTGGGGGCTTCAAATGCAACTTTTTCATCATCTTCCTTCCTTACAAAGAGAGATGAGGGGAAACTTGAACACAATTTGAAGAGCTAAACAAATAAATATCACATAAGAAATTTCCAGATCCACACTCAGCAAAAATGAAAAGCTAGTTTTCATGAATCTCAAGATAGTCATTAAGATTTGTCAAATTAGTTTTAGCCTGTTAAAGTGCTAACTCTTCACAGCTTTTAGGTGATTATCAAACCCTGGTTTAAGCACTGACGCATAGAAAAGCTCCATAACAAGTCAATTCAGAACATTCTAAAAGGCTTTTTTCCTCCTCTGGGCTTTGCTCTGTGGCTGTCGGCTGCGTGATACCTACACAGGGGATCCGGCGGGGCAGATACGATGGAGACAGCTGCCGATGTGAGCGATCACCTCTTCCACCGCCTCCGCTGAGCCCAGCCGGAGGCTCCAGGGACCGCGCTCATGCTCCAACACCAACTGCAGGGGGCGACACACACAAAGAGACACAAACCATCCATAGTGACACTTGTGCCTTGCTCTCAATGGATCAAGCCACAGGTGAAGTAATGAGTTCAAATTTCATAGATGTTTTGTTTGTGCCAAACCTGTGAAGCTAAAATGAGTCAATAGTGAAATCTGCTGCATGTGTGTGTGTGTGTGTGTGTCTCGTGTATTTTTGCACCTGAGTGGGCTTGTTGCTGCTGATTCCCTGAATGTCCAGGTAGCTGAACGACTGTTCAACCTTTAATAAACGAGAAGAGACACATGGTGAAATTCACATGTAAACACGTCTAGTTGGTCTCGTATTTCAACATTTACTGACGGGAGAATTAAAAGTTCTAAGAAAAAAAAAAGCCGGGAATCTTTTTTTGTGTTAATTTCTTCAGCAAATCCCAAAACTAAGTCATGTGTCCCAGAAGATCTCAGTGCTAATGTGGATAAGCACAAGAAACTTTTTGAAAGATGTTTACCAGATGCAGATTATTGCACACGCAATCTTTAATGAGATGGATTACATGAGATTTCAAATGATGGACACGCCATCGCTCTGCTGGATCCACAAACAAAATGTTAGCGTGCCTCAAATAAAATATCCACAAAAGTTATGTTCCAGTTGAAGATGTCTTAATGCTAACGATTGTTACATTTAGGGAAATGCTGTGTTTCCAACTTTATGGCAACAATTGCTTAAAGCTGCTTCCTGTTCAAATTATGTCACTGTGTGCAAAGGCAGCAACACAATTTGGTGTAAACAAACTTGCCTGGACGGTACACAAAACCTTATCTCAGCCTCATCCAACATCTCTGGAATTAGTTGGAGAGCTGACTTTAAGCCAGAGCCTATTACCCTGATCACAACTGGACCAAACTGATGCTCTTGTGGCTAAATGGGAGCAACATCCGGTGCACAGGCTCTCGAGTCATTGTTTTGCTATGAGCTGTTCAACCACAGATGAAGCTGAAATGTTCATGTTCTCATTGGGGTTTTTGCAAAGTAAGCTTAACATGACTTATCAAGCGCCTGCTTGTTTTGGAGCACGGTGAGTTTTCTATGTCACAATAACCCCCCCCCCCTACATGTCTTCATGTTGTGAGGAATTTTCTAACACTCTGCTGTGGTGGACGGTGGAGCATGTGCACTGTGAAAACTTGTATCACTACATCAAACAGAAAAAGATGCCTTAAGGAACACGAAGCTGGACACAGTATCCACTTGAACAAAGACCTGGAATAGGGACAGAAAAAATAACTTCAAACACTAAAGGAATGTGAAAACAAAAGCTGCAAACAGTCTGCTGAACAAATGTCTGGAGCAGAGTCATACACTTCCACACATTTTGCTATGAATCCAGAGTGAGTAAAAATGATTGTGTGGTCTAGACTTGCTGCCAAGGAGAGGAATGGTGACAGGGGGAGAGGCGGGAGGAAAAAGCAGAGTGGGGAGATATATGCGGGGAAGAAAGAGAAGATGGGAAGAGGACAGTGAAAAAACTGCACTATGCAAGTCTTATGAAGAGAAAAGATGTAAGGCTTTAAAAAGAGAGTGGATTGTTCTAAAGTTTAGGAGATGTGAAATAAATGAGAGATGAAAGAAAACAAAGTGTGAGAGGGAATCAGAAAAAAGAGGGGCACAGAGGATTAGTGCCCCCTCCTCTGCTCTTATTGCCAGCTGTTAAATTCCTCCATTGTCTTTTTTTTTCTCCAATCCCCTGCTCCCTCCCTCTGCTGGGACAGTACAAACTGAGGAACAAACCGCCCTCTGTTTCATTCTGCCTCTCACACACAGAGTAAGAAAATCCAGTGGCCCACTCTGGAACAACAGTTCAGGGGTCAGCTGGCAGAGCCGAAGGTCTCTGCGTTGCAGATTGGCTCCAGCGGGTTATCGAAGTGTCATCGCTGATGAAACCAGCATTCTGTCTGCCGGGAAATGGGATCTAAAAAGACTAAACCAATGCTGTCAAATGCCTATTTTCGATTTAGTGATCACCAACATCCAAAACGGCCGGAGGCTGATGTGAATCCCGCTGTCGTCTTTTTTTACAAAGAACTGTTGTGCAGCTAAACCTTGAATCCTGGTAATCTCTAGGACGTGCAGCACATTCCACGATCCTAAACTTTTCCTCAGACCAAACACTCTCTTGCACATGGGAACTCCACTTACCCACTGGGGTGATATACCCAGTCACACAACAAAAAGCGGGCAAAGGAAAACAAAGCCCAAGATGTTGACTCAGCCTTCAAACTCTCCAGATCAATTCTGATCAAGCGTCCACTCAGGGATGTGCCAGAACAGCCCCGGTAGATGTCAGCCATTCAGGTCATCGTAATCCTGAGAGCTTGAATTAGCGAGAAGTTTCACATGTCATTTATCATAGATTCGAAACTAGTTGGTGAGGAGAACAAGTTCATAATTAAGTTATAATCAAACTTTTACTACATGAAAAATTTTCAATTGTTCAAATCGGTGGGTGATGCCAAGGTTGATATGCAGCACTGAAAAAGGAAACAGCGTTATAATTTGACAAGTTTCCCATTAGATCAGATTTTCCTTCTTTATTTATAAGTTGCATGGCTTGATTCACACAGGACTGTCCCCCCCCCCCCCCCCCCCGTCCCCCTTTCCCGGAAAGTTGCCAGTGAGCCATTAAAATAGAGGCTGAGAAAAAGGAAATGGCATCAGTAATTTGAGAGCAGTGTTCAACTATGGGCTGACTTCTCTTCCAATAAATCAGCTATGTGACAACTTTGATTTTCTGAAACTGTTCTTCAAGCCTGAACAAGGGCCCTCACCAGCTCAGGCCTCAGCTGAACTCTTGTGTTGGCATTAAAATTCATCCTCTGAGGTTTTCAGACGTTCTTTTACTTCTGTTGCTTGATCGTATATCAACAGGGGACGAATCACTTTATCTGACTAAAGTTTTTATAGCTTAATGACAATAGGTTGCTCTTCTGTTTGATTCTGTTTCTGTTATTACTCTTTCCTCTATGTTTTTCTCTCTGTGTCTGTTTCAAGCCCTGTGGCTTGAACTTTTCTTCCTGTCTCTGTTTTCCTTTCCCACAGGCTGTGCTCTTACAGCTGCAGTGTGGGTAAAACTATCAAATGTCTCCGTGTGGTGGGACCTGTTCTCATCTGGTAGAGACACATAAAGACCAAACAGAATCAGAAAGAGGCAGAGTATAATGGAAAGAGCTGCCTCGACTTTAGCACATTTTAGGCAAACTGAAAAGAGAATAAGAAGTGAGTATGAAATGATCACTATGTCTCTAAAATAGTTACATACTCAGAATGTACAGAAAATGCAGAGTTCAGTAAAAAAAACATTCAGAGAAGTTAAAAATAAAGAAACAGGAAGTGGGTTACATGGACTAGTAGAAGTCTTGTACCAAAAATCAAAGAAAAATGAACCCTACTCTGACTCAAGTGTTGTCCTGACCTGTTTCAGTGAGCCATGGTCTTACATTCAGTCACATGTTCCTTTATTCCCACAAACACACAGACACACAGACACAGAGACACACACACGACTAGAGTTTATTTTGAGATAATCTCACATACACCGTCTCTCTGCTCCTCACATTTAGTCCAGTGATAAATGTGGATTAATCTGCTACTTAAAATAGTCCAAAACAAATGCCTTTACTCCTCCTGTTATGCATGCCAAGGCAAAAAAAAAACAGCATGTCCATATTCCAGAGTCTTTTCTGAAAGGAACTATAGAAATGTGATGTGTGTCAGAGGTTAGGATTTTCGCTGGAAATCAGCAGGTTTGAGAGTCACAGGTCAGACACAGACGTCAGTCAGGAGCAAAGAGACAAACCAAGGCATTGTGGGTTTCAGTCATACCATGAGATTTTCTTAACGCAAGATAAATAAGAAAACAGCCAAATGCTACACTGCAACAGATAATTCATTAACGAGGTACTCTGCAACAAGCGGAAAGTTGTGAAGCTAATACCTGCAGCCTGCTGACATCTGACCGGTTTGACGTTTGATGCAATGACGGTTGTCATTTAGAAGAACAACATTAACCAAAAAAACAACAAAAAAAAGACAGCAGAAACACAACTTGAATGGTAAGAATGAGTCTGACCCAGGTGAGCTCACCTTAGAAGGGACCCGTGCTGTTAGCAGATAGGCTCGATGCGACGCCAAAGCCTGTGGAACAGAGACACAGTCACTGCTGAAACTCCTCTAACTGCTAACGGCTCCACTTCAGCTTTAACATTTACAATATGACAGTGAGAAAAAAAAGAAAATCATCTCTTCCATCAAACCAACATTAGTAAAAAAAAACAAATTGGATGATTAGAAATAGATAGAACAACTCTGTGATTTTCTTATGAACTATATTTGTTTTATTTTGTCTTCTGTAAAGTTTCTACACTTTGGTATGCTGGTATTATGAACCGTGTCATTTTTAGATCCAGAAATCAAATCCAATTAAATGGTGGTAAAGTTACAGGAATGATAAAGACAAGTCAACTTAAAATGAAGGCGAAAAGAGGAAAACTTCTCATTTTCTAATAAGTCCTAATAAGACCAGGTGAGTCCCCTCCTGCCCTTCCTTCCAGAAGCGTCGGTTATTTTCGCTTGCAGAGAAGCCTGAAGGAGTACTGGACTCCTGAGAGCATTTTTCTCTGAGTGGGATGATAATATATATTATCTTACACCATGTGCTGAACTGCTGTTCTGGCAGAGTGAGTGCTCATTATGACAGCTCTCTCAAGCTTTGTGTTTCAAGCTGGCAAAATTAGAAACTCATTCTTCACGTGTGAAATGTTTGCTGAATTATGGTTAAAATGGTCAAAGTTAAATGGGCCGTATCACATTCTCCTGATAATGACGGTAAAAGCTAGAGGGGGAAGGGATGAAAGCAAAGTGAGCTGTGGTTGACATGAGGCTCAGCCAGCTGTGGTATGTACAGTAACCCATTGTATGGCTGAGCGAGGTTTCTCCAGGTCACATCTGCTGTTATGAAGTCTTCAAACTCTTGGACTCTCGGCAGTCTCAGAAAACTGGCCACGATCCCGGCCTGGCTGAGAGGCAGAACTAAGGTAGCAGACAGTGTGACGTTCAAACACCCCGTTTCTGTTTATAAGGTCTGGAATCATCCCGGTTGAGGTGCTTGGCAGACTCCAGCATTTCCGTGCGAGTAAGCTGGTGCAGCCCGTCTAGAAAAGGCTGCACCACAGAAAAGTGAGAATCTAGGCTGGATGCACCGATAGCCAAACAATACTAAAGTCTTTGGCCTTTCAAATGAAACACGAGTGTGTTACTTGTGGGCACTTTCTTTTTTTCAAACTCAGCAGGAAGAAAAAGCCTCGACGAAAAAGGTCTGCTGCATCCTTTACAGCTCAATGTAAAAATGGGAACAGAAAATCCTTTGACCCTTGAAAACTGTACTTATGATGAGGTGGGACACAAATAAGGATATAAGGATCTAACTTATAAGTAAAATAAATGTAATAAATAAACATACAAACATAAATAAATAAAATACATTTCTACATTTAAAGAATTTACTGAGTGGATTTCTAATCCGGTGATCTCTAGCTGTGGAATGCAGTGTACATCTGAATATCTGTGGCCGTGAGTGGGCCGCTTCAGTCAAGTTCTGACAGGAATGGCAGAGCCGTGGTATGTCCACAAACCAAAAACACTGTGTGTTGAAACAAATGAAATCATAGAAATAACATTAAATGTGTAGAATTTCACTTCATTTGCTGCTTACAAAGAAGCGTATGGTCAAAATGTGCCTCTTCTGAGTCCCTATGTCTGCTTACTTCTCCTTTTTAAAAAGGTTTCCCCCCCATCTGTATAGAGATTTGAGTCTGCATACCTGCAGATCCCAGAAACCAGATACCTCGCCTGAGTAACAGCGTTCCCTCGCAAAGAGACTCTGTGCTGTGTTCAGTGTCTTTTCACAATTCATACAGCCTGCTCAAAAAGACAAGCCTGACAAGCCAGATAAGCCATCCAGTTTTAATCGCCCACTGTTTCATGTCTTAGTCAGTATGTTGCTAAATTCTTCCATGATTCCAAAACAAAAAAAACAAAAAGAAACATAAAGACAAAACAAAAATAAACACAGCAAACGTTTGAGTTCCTGTTTGAGGCTGTTAGCTGTGGTCTGGAAACGGCTCCTTTAATCAAACTCAACCTTAATGGTATTTCAAAGAGAGTCCAAACAGTTTTGGAAAAACCCTTTCCTGTTTGAGCCCGACAATGTCCCAAAACAAAAAGCCAAAAAAAAGTTGGCATGGGAAGTCTGCACTGGTCTATAAAAAAAGCCCCGATCTAAACCCTATGCGACACCTTTTGGAGGAACGTTAACTGTGAACTGCCACATTGGAAAATCTGTGATACTAAGTCTGAATGTCAATCCAGCTTGTTTATGTTTAAATTTAAGAGGAAAAAAAAGGAAAAAATCGTGACTCAGCTGCTGTCACTAAACTTCTGCAGCCACAGTCAGTCAAAATATCTAACAAGCACTTGTAGCTTTACTACTGAAACATCCAACTCAGAAGGCATTAAACAGATTAAAGGCAGACTAAACACCAGATCTAGCTCCAACACACAGTCCTGTCTCTGTCTCTTTTTGGGTGAATTCAGTTGTATTTTTATTGATATTTTTCATGAATTTAAATTAGTTTATTTAGATTGTTGCTGTCTGTTTACAGTCCCCTTAATATGAAAACAGAGATGCTCTCCTCTATAATCTGCCTATTACTGTACAGTCTGAGGATTGATCAGTGAGAAATGAATTAAATAAAAAAAAAATAGCCTGGACTCTGAAATGTAAGATGCTTTGTGATGTATCTGGTGTCTGCCCCGCCTGGTTCATATTTACTGGCTTCCTCTCCTGGCTCCTGTCTCAACATGCCCACAGCAGCACAACTTGCCGGATGCTTTAGGTTTAAGGACATCAACACTTGCGAAACGTTTTATGTGCTGCTTTAGAACAGACTTAATCAAAAATGTTTACGAATGATTTGATAAGAAGGGCTCACACTTACCAGCACTCTGTTCTCTACCTTGTCACCTTTGACTTCCAGGTGGACTTTCTGCCTCAGGGTCAGTTTAACCCTCCGCCCCACCGCCTCCCTCACACTCTCTACATTATGGGGTGGAGAAAAAGACAAACAACACTGAACAATTAACACAGCAACAGCTGGAGGGGGTCACATTACTACGTATTACGCTTAAGTCCTGGGCAGCATTTCTGTAGCGCTCAGATACTGTAGCTGTGCCACCAGTATGATAGAGAAGATTAATTTGGCTAGTAATGGCTTTAACAGAAGTGCTGGCAGCCAGAAAAAGTGCCTGTGAGGAGTGAATAAAATTTACGATGTCATCAGAAGGCTGCAGATTTAAAGCAAACGGATAGGTATTTGAGGGAATATATCAGTTTGAAGAGTGGTTTGCCTTCATTCTTTAATTAAATTTAGAATCTTTTTCTGCTTTTCATGTTTCCACAGAGCTGTACCACAATTTCAATTAGTTTATTTCCTGGGTCAAGAACCAGCACCAAGAGTTTACAGAAAATAACGACGGACAATACTAATGGCAGCTGCTTGTATTCGGATTGGTATTTCACAATTTGAAGTCAAAAGAAGGTCTGCACAAAAATGACTGCTAAAGTTCTGTTTTCCTGTGAAAGGTCTGCGAGTTAAAGAGAAACTTTATTTCTGTCGTGGTGGGAAAATTCAAGGAAGCATGGAAAAAAGATGGGGGTGGGTGAAGAAGTAATAGTTAAGATTAGATTAAGATTACGCAACAGAGAGCCAGCATGGGAGGAAGAATAACAAAGGAGGTAGGAGGGACCCTGAGGAGACGCATAAGGCTGAAGAAGAGGTGAAATGTGGGTAAGATATGGAGGAAAGTGTGAGAATGTAATATGTGCAGGGCAATAACAGCGTACTAATGAGAACTGTGGCCCGCCCTCATGACATCATGCTGCTCCCCTCCTCTCCTCTGTGCCCAGACACATGATGAGGTCATGAGGAGGATCAAAACATTACAGCATGAGCCAGCGTAGGGGCTGATCAGAAACACATGGGCCTTTCCCCGCGTCCAACTCGCTCATATGAGAACTGAGCAATTTCCTAATTACTCCTTGGTACGAACCTGTCGGACACATAAAAAAATTATGATTGCTCTCAGACGCCACATAAACCTGAACAAAACACAGTGGAACTGACCGCCAGAGTTCTCAAACTCAAAGTGAGACGTAGGAATTAGGGAGTGAATCCGGTCGGCATGCAAAGGGGGGACAGCCAGGGGGGTATCTGGAGTGTGCTGATGGCACACGGCTGGCTCGTGCTGCCTGTCAGGTCCGAGTCTACGCAGGTCAGGGCTCTCATGGCAGCACGAGGACAGTCCACACACTATAAGGGGCATCAATCTCGAGTACTGGCAATGGTGGCCAACAGTCTACAGATGGTCTCAACACACACACACTTTGAATAGCAGATTGATTTTTATCAATAACTTAAAGAACACTCACATGCTTATTAATCCTCTTGAAACTCATTTGTCCCTCTAGATTGTACGTTTCTGAAGCGTTGCAAACTAAAACTTCTTATGAAGTCCTTCAAGGTGTAACACTGCACCCAAATCATATCCCAGGAAAAAGACGGGCTGGAATGAGATCAGGAGCTAGTCCATGCTTTGAGGAATATGAAAAGTTTGCTGAGATTTAGGTGGTGGTAATGGCCATTCTCAAGGTCAAGCAGACAGGCGATAGCCACCATTGTCAGGGTCTGGAAAAGCATACAGGCACTAGCTTCGACTTGTTTGCCCACCTGCCCCTGATAGCACCTGGCTGACTTCTAAATGTTAGGGTTCTTTACAAAGGGTTCTAAATAGTTGCATTTCCCCAGTCCATACGAAGTCAGAACAAGCTCTTCCAGTCTTCAAAGTTTGACCCTCTGTCTGTGTGTGTGGACTACTTTCTTATTGATTAATCATTTATAAAGTTAACTGGATGCCTGATGAGTCACTGGGGACCATTTTAACACCGACAAGGCGAGGCTGCACGCATGATCCCATTGGCTTCACAAAAAGGGCAGACATAATTAACAATCCCCCCCCTTAGTTTGAAATGCTGATGATGAGCAGCAGCAGGTCACTCTGCCCGATTAAAACCAAGAGCAGAACTGCCAACAAAAAGCCCCATTCATCACCCAGCTCAGTGACATACAGCGAGCGATTGGGCTGCAGAAGGCATAACAGAGAGCACGGGGTTGCGAGTCAGCTTCATTGTGTGTTAATATGATGCCTAATGACGGCCCTAAAATACACCTAACGGAAAGTGGCTTTTTTGCATGCATGGCTCTAATGCATGCATGGCTCTAGTGCCTACCTTAAGGAGGCACAGGCTGTTTCAGCCCAAAACAGCTGATATCAACACCTTCAGTCAGTGCCTGAGAAACTCCAGCTTATTGGCTGCCTAACTTTAACTCACAGCAAAATTGCTGTGATTTACTGTTCTTTTTTTACTCTCAGTGATTCAGGCAGTCTGTGTTGATAATATCTCACAATCCAAAGGAATTTCACAGGACACACCCCTCTCTCAAAGCCCTCTCTCCCCCACTTCAGATAAGGAAGTGGCAGAGGACAAGCTCTCAGGTAGCCAGCCAAACCCTTAGGGCATGAAAATAACTTCACTTACATGCCGCAAAGGCACAGAAAATAAGAAAAACTCGAGAAAAACTTTCAGGTGATGAAAGAAATAAGCAGATTTTGTCCCCAGGTCAGTTTTTGCCAATATTCGAAACTCATATCACGATGTGACATTTAGTTGCTGCACAGATTGGTTGGAATTTACAAGAATATTAAAAGTTGTTCTATTATTTTAAACCATTCACTGAGTTGTTTAAATGTGTTTGAGCAGCGAATATCTCAACGCGACTACGTTCTTACGTTTTAACTTGCTATCAGATTAGATGTTCTGAGTATTACCGAAGAAAAACTTGGCTGAGCCTGCTAACGGTGACTTACCGAGCAGCTCGTTGGAAATGTCCGTTTTTTCCTGCGACATCTCTGCTGCTGAAGTAAACACCGAAGTGGAAGTGGAGTCCCCGGCGGTGAGGGCCACAGAAGCGGTCAAAACGCGAGAGCCGAGGCGGCAAGAAGACGGACCTCGACCAGGGGGAGCGGCAACAACACGGCAAAGGTGCAGTGCCGCTTTCTTGGTTACCTGTCGACACCCCCGCTTACCTAACTAACTCTCACTGCCCGCTGCCATCCCTGCGTGCCGGTGCTCTCACAGACACGCGCTCACGCGCAGCACAGACATGCACGCGGCCCTTACTCGTGCATTATAGTGGTTGGAGGAGATTTAGAGGGGGCAACAACTTTGCTCAAAGGGTGGTTTCCGTACGAGATTTGATTGCAAAAGTGACGGCAGTCAGTGCGGGTATGTCAAGAAATCAGGCAGGCACATTTTTCACTTAAGCTCGAGCCCCCCCCCCCCCCCCCTTTCCTTTCCACTTGCACGGTTTTTTTGGTCTGCGAAAAATGAGATAATTCTGCCCCCTGGTGACCATTCTGACACATTACAACCTACATTTTTTAAACACCATCAATGGAGGGTATTGTTCTTCTTAGCATACTTCAGGGAATGTTTTACACACCTTTGTATTGGATATATATATATATATATATATTATTTTACACATTTTTTATACAGTTTTATACCCCCCCCCCCCTTTTTTTTAATAGTTAATTGGCTTTTGTTGAGGTTGTTTTGCATGACGTTGTGGTAAAGTGAATCCAAATTATTATTCTGTGTGACAGAGAGGGAGTGTGCAGAGGATCCCTTTGGATCAAATGCGGAATAAGAAGCTGTAGTTGAATGTTTGTCCAAAGGTGACTGAGAAATACAACGTAAATGGCTTTACCAAAAGCAGAATGGTGCTCTGAAACTGTAGCCCACATTTAATCTTATAAACATCACATTGATAAATTAGTATTTTGTGATAATGAAGCGATTATCAGTCAAGTTGAACATTTATGGATTCTCCCGCTTCTCTGTGTTTTAAAAATTATTATTATTATAAAAAAAATATTTTTACTGTCAGTGGTGAGAAGAGACCCCAAAAGCAGTATGAAATCATAAACTAGACAGATTTGGTCTAAGTTTAAAGAAGATGAAAATACAGGCCGCAGTCAATAATTATGAAAGATTGATTTATTGAAAATCAATGAAAGGACTAGTCTGATAGAGTCAAACAGATGCAGGATGTTACAGGGGATGCCCAACAGTATTTCAGTAACTCGTGGTATATCTGATTCAATCACTAGGTGGAGACATGGATTCGTCAGTGTTTCTGCTGCCGCAGGTCCACTCATGCCGACTCACGCCTGATCGAAGTAAAGCTTCAGACACTCCGGAATGCTACATGTATCCTGGACCGCATATTAAGGTCAGTGTGCATAAAAAAACAGGAGAAAACAGGATAGTTTGGTTTTTACAGTATCTAGTTAAGAAGTGTCAAATATACAGTTAATGAGCATTAATACATTTTTAAAGGTTCATAAAGACAATAACTGACAAAAGTTATCCGGCACATTTGAGATTTTACTCTCACAAATCGGCGCAAGAAACATGGAGGATGACCCACATTGGGACACTGAACACAAGAAACTTTCCTTATTGTAAAAGATGACACGGAGCTTGGCAAAAGCTGGATTACCAAAAATACCAATCAGAGAAAATAACTAAACCAAAGAAACAAAGAACTAGAAAGGCAGCGATTAGTGAGTGTCGGCAGCTGAGAACTGGAAGCACAGGAGAGGGTATGGAACTGATGACCCGCATGGAAAAATTCTGGATGGGATTTCAGGTATAGACCAACAACCACAACCAGTAAACAAAATAAGAACAAGGAAGAGAGACACGACCAGGAGAGACATTGGGAACTAAAGTTAACACAGAGCAAACAAACAAACAAACCAGACAGTAAACAACCAAGCCCACAATGGTCACAAGTTTCCAAACTCATGGACCTTTTCTGTCAAGTCATCAGAGCTCACCAAAACAGAAAACAGACGATGCTCTCCTCATGCTATGCTAAATACTACCTCCTCATACTACAGGAGGTACATGAAAGCTCACCGTTACCTGGCTGAGTTTGGTCATAACTGCTGATCTGTCCAAGGTCCTGAAACACCATATTACTCAACGATCTGTCATGTATGTCGCTTATTTCAAACGTTTGTGGTAAAACACTCAGACTGTGTGTGTTCTCTCTTTTTCCTGCCAGACCTCTTAGGACAGAGGCTCCTTGTACACATTCACTGTGTTTTATGTTTTTTATGACTGTGTGTCTTGCTCCCTCAATATTTGTGTATCCATATTCAACTCCATGTACCCATCGCTCCACATATCTGCATCCACCGGTGTGCGAGTGGTTTAATGAAGCATAGTGTTAAAGTGCGATATAAGCCCTCATAGCTATGTGTTCATGTTTTGACATTTTGGTGAGGATGGCAAATCTGGAATAACTTGTGGATAAATTAAGTCATATGGCATTATTTATTACTATTGTGTAATATAAAATATAAGATAAGGCTAATTTAAAACAACTGCTGTTGACTGCTGTTGTTCCTTACAACAACAGCACATTGCCAAATAAAAAGATAGATAAATACTCCTGTCTTCTACTCCCACTTTGTTTTTGTTGACCATGTGAGTTAAAATAAGGATCCAACTACATTAACCTAACAGTTTTTTTCTTTTCTTGGCACAAGTGACCATTTCACTCAGTCAGACCACTAGTTCAGGTGGACAGACTCGAAACTCTTAACTTAACTCAACTTTCCCAGGAATACATTCACACAGCCACAGTGCGGAAGACCTTCAATAAAATCTGCCACTTTTGGGATCATTGCACTAAAGCACTAAATTAGCGGTGGTTTAGAAGCACCAATTTTAAGACTAAGACTTAAATGTGAACTGAAGGATCTTCTACTTGTTTTGAGCTGTCGGTTGCAAGCCAAGGTTTTCTGGGCTGAGTTTCTCACAGGAAAAGTGAAAGACTTATTCCTTAATACAGACTGGGAGAAAAATCTGGTAATCAGTAACATGTCCTTAGATAAGGCCTTGGCTGATATTTTCCTTTTCCTTTGAGACACTGGAAAGTAAAAAAGGTACTGATGACTGGATGTAATTTTTCAGAAAGGGAGTCATTGCTGTGAATTTTGAATGTGTGCCTTGTAGGGCTGTTGAAAATGAGACTAAACCGATTTGTTTTGGATGGTTTCCAAAAGTTAAAAGTTATCCAACAAGGGCTGAGTTCTTTCACGATGAAACTCGGTTCCTAATTACCGAAACTGACCTTTTTAGGAATAGGATTAGCTGAGTTAACTATGATCTAATGGCCCTGCAGTTAAATGATTAGTATATGTAAATATTTTTCCACAGTAACTTGCCTAATGGGTGGAATGCCAAATGTAACTTTCCTTTGAAAACTGTTGATTTCAGGGGAAAATCCCAGGTTGAAACCTATGATATTACTAATCACCCCTTCTCAGACAAGAGAAATCGAAGCAGAAGCATCTATGGGAAGGTTTTGTGCTGACTTCATTTATAACAACAATCCGGAATTTGTGCAATTACCTCCTCTGAGTTCACCACAGTTCACTCCGCCACAGCTGGTTATCCAGCCATGTTATTAATCTAAACTAGTCGGAGGCAGTTGTGTCGTGCTTTAAGAGGAGGCAAGCCAAACAAAATCAAAACTCAGATTTTAATGATCCATCCGAGTCAGGGTCTGCCGCCCCTGATATTCCTCCCTTCGAAGTTTAGAAAAAGACATGTCAAGAAACAAAATTGTGGCATTTCATTAAACTGGTGACATACACTGACGAAATGTTTCACCTGCTTGTAGATATACACTTATATCATATTTTAACCATCAAATCAAGATTTCTGCTGGCTATGATTTTGGGCTTTGATGCTAAAGTGTCAAATGTACGTCATGTATGAGCAGTATTGCGGTATTTATATTTGCATAGAATGTTTTTTTTAGAGCTGCAGCTGATCTTGCTTCAATTGTGGTTATATTTCACTGGAAAATATACATTTGATTTTACTGTGGCTGAGGCAAATATTTGAGAATTTAATTATGAATAGTAAGCTGATGCTGAAAATAGCAGCGTCCCTGTGGAAAAAGCAGAACTTCCTTTTTGGTTAGTCAGAGTTTTGGCACGCACAGCAAACGCTGGGGGCACAAGCACCTGACAAGGACCTTCAAAAAATAGCTAGGCACAGGGAAACTAAAGAAAAAACTAAAAAGAGAAAAAGGAAGTGATGAGGGAAAGCACCTTTTTAATTCTGGCAGGAACCTAACCTCGTAAAAGGTCGAACAGCCGTATTTCAGCTGCGTAACAATTCAGATGAGTCAAACTTTGATGACAGCCGAAGTTTAGATGAAACATGATAAGAAGTGCCTAATGAGTCAGCCTGATGTCAAAGAGAAAAAAAAGCGCAATAGATGTGTACATCCCGTGGTCCAGAATGTCCAAGCATGGGAACTGATAAGCGCAAAGCATATTTTCACAGTCCATAAAACACTTATAAAGTCGCTTTCATTTCTTTATAGTCATTACGCAGCATTTTCCGTCTGAACGTTTATGTAAATGTTTTCAATTGTTTTCAATAAATTGGCAGATACTGTATTGTTTATTTATTATTGGGCAATGTAAAATGTTATTGTTTTTCTCGTCATTTTCAGAAAGGAATTTAGTTTTTTTTTTCAGGGTAATTTCATGACTCTGCTTCTGCTTTGAGTTTGAAAGAGGAAACTCAACATGAGATGTTCACCTTTGTAAAAATCTCTTTATTTACTGACATTTTAGAGGATAAACACAACCTATCGGACTTGTTTAACTGTGTGTGTGTTTTATCATTATATTTGTCTCGGTACTGTACTTTTTACATTCTGCATTCAGAAAAATCACATTTTTGTAAATAACACATCCATGTTTCATTACTCAAACCAGCAGCCATAGTCACATGAAATAGCCCAGTTTTTTTCCCCCTGTGGAGTGCAGTATTCGATCACATACGACATTTAAGTGGTTGAGAGGTCGGCTCTCAGAAACCTGCTTTGTCATGTTCGTTCTGATTAATCACCAGGTAACCAGCTGACCGGCACCCCATGACTTTCACATGAGTCGACAAAAGGGGATGGCGCGTCACACAGGAACTGCCGTTGTTAAGTAATCTGGTTATTTAATACAACACAGTGCCATTGGCCTCTCCAGGCATCACTTTGTCTTAGCTGCCCAGGTTAAATGTGACCCCCTATCCAGCACTGTATGAATGTGGCAGCACATTGGGGAGTGCTGATGCTCTGGCAACCATCAGGAGAACACCAGGAGTTTTTTAAGCTCAGTTGTTACTTATCCAACTTTGTCCATTGCATTCATTTTAAACATGATGGTCTTAATACCTAGCATATGGTCTCCATAACTCCACGAACACAGATGCAAGTGATTCTTGGCTCTGAATCTCTCCAAACACCTCATATCACTAGTTTATCAGCGCTGTGGCTACTTTCTGGCCGTTGAAAGAGAAGCGACTGGTTCTGGATCTGCTTTGGTGCGAGTGGGAGCTTGTGTCAGATGAAAATAAAGATTTTTAAGTTTCTGTTTACAAAGAGCAGCATTTTCCCATCCTTACTGTTGTAGCGTTAGCTGCTGATATAACGCCTGTTGGCAGGATTTCCAGTATTCAGCCAGTATTCAGTAGTCACCAATTGCTCACCAAATGCTTGAACTACAACTTTGTAAAAATAAAACATATCATTCCTGGGTAATCAACTTTAAATGGGTGTGATCAGCATGCTAAACAAAAGATTTTTGAATCAAAGCACATTTCAATGTAAAATAGCTTCCCATTTTAACCCCACCAAATGGTACTCCATGTGACATTTGAACGTATTCATCATTTATATTGGCAGTTCTTGTAATCTAGTGAAAAAAATAAAACAGCCGCATGTTGAAACAACAGCAGTGTCTTTTGATTTGGAATTATATCCGGTATCATTATCTTTTATATGTTGATGATGTCATGTATAAAGACATCTGTCAGCATTCTGCTTTTCAGAGATAATGTGATGTGAACATTGTGGCGTGACTGAGGATTTGAAAAGATAATGCACAACACCCACTGCATATATATCTTGAGTTGGACAAGGCACATTCAAATATAAGAGAGTATACAAAATTCTTTCCATCTGAAAATTAGACGATGTGTTGGCAAGTGTGTCCAACCTAATATTCCCACAATTGGTCACATCCAGCCATATCTGGACCCTCTTTGAATTGTGCAGTGGCTGATTTGTTCTCCTTGTTCCCACTAACTGGAGAATGAGCAGTTTAAGTCCGGGTACAATTAATTGCTTCAAGTTCTGATGGTCAATTTGGAAACTGTGACACAGAGGCATGCTGTAACCACATGATGTGATTTTATCAGTCACTTTGTGACTTTGCCTGAATTATTTTTTTTCCTAAAGCCAGAACAAAAAACACACAATGAAATTAGGAAGTTTGATTTAGTCCGAACTGTCCAAAATGACTGGACTAGACTGGAATGACTGAAACTAGTTGGAATCACTGCATAGCTCTTTCGAAAAAAGAAGTGACACAGGCGCTCATAGAAATCCTGGAAACCTTTTTTTGGCAATATGTAATCATGGGTAAGTAATAGATGAGAGCTGGGGTTCAGCTGATTGACGAAGGGAGGGCTGAGACGATAAAAATCGGTTTATAACTGGTTTATAGAGCTTAACAAAACACATTGATTTTGTTTAGATTTTCCTAACACCTCACTGCACATATGACTCTTTCCTCTCCACTCTTTCGAAAGAGTTTCTTTACCTTGGTTTAGATTACTGGCAGGAAGCAGAAATGCGGTGAATCCAGGAATCCAGGAGCTCGTGTCATTATCCTGTAACAGTCTTTTTTAACACTTCAATTTACAACATGTAATTCCTTTAGGGACTTTTGTTTTCTGCCCACATGTATTTCCTCGTAACTGTCTTTTTTTCACTTCCTCAGTCCAAAAAAGCACTGAAACATCTGGCATGCCAAGTGTTGGATAATCAGAAGGCCTTTGTGAGGTAGAGAACAGCAGACAGGGAGTTTGCTTAACACTCCACCTGTGCATGCAGCGCAAAGGTTTAAGTTAAGGCAAAGAGCCCCGCACCAGCAGAGAGAGCTAACCCATTCACGTTTGCCCTCAAAGCCACCAGAAGTAAATCTCTCATTGATTTGTCAGGTCTGATTTTTTTCCACTGTATGAGAAAAATAGATACCGAAAGAGTGTGGAGTGTGAGCCATACTTTAGTATATTTGTCTAGCATGATGTATTTGCATGTTATATATATTATTTTGTACGTGCAGTGCGTATTATAATAAAGAGGAACCAAAGGTTGGTAAGTATCAAAGGTCAAAGCACACTGTAGCCATAGGAACCACTAAAGGTTTTAGGAACATTTCTTGTCAAAGACTGGTAACAGTGTTGAACTTCTTGGAAAAATAAATCATGCGTTTTTCTAAAATCTTTCCAATTAAATTTAGTGCAGCATGGAACATGGAAAAAGGCCCACATAGACTCTCCGGTGAACTTTACTAACAATGAGTATGTTAAAATGATCTACTTTTAGCAGAGGGGTGAGGGTTTTGGGCTCAGGCCTCCTATTTCTGATAGATTTGTTGAAAAGTAAAGCCGATTTACATTTGAATGTTTATGTGATGATCAGGAACATCATTACTTTGAGACTGAAGTGAGTGCATGTGGGGCCCAATGAAGGGAGATTTTGATAAATTCAAGTAATTATTGTCCTCAGCCTTACAATTACTACCTTTTTACTACCTTGCAGAGAATTCTAGACTTTGGCTGATAACAACTGGCATGCTCAATGACCCGCAGAGGTACCCCATCTACTCCCCACTGCATCATTTGCTGCTGATCCTCCTAAAATGCATTTAAAGCACAAAGGCTACTGAAACCTTGCAAAGAAAAGCTAGTAAAAGGCCTTTTTTTCACAATGTAAAAATGCCTCTGCTACCATATTTGGCCCACTGAGATAACAATTCATGAACTTTAAATGTCAATACGTTTCTTTTTGTGTTTTGTGTGTGTGTGTGTGTGTGTGTGTGTGTGTGTGTGTGTGTGTGTG